TGGTGCAGTCTTCTTGATCTCCTGAGCTTGGTGCTCTAGGCATGTCTCTTGTGTGGGTTATGTGGGCCCTCCTGTTGTAATTGAGTCTTGATTGTTTTGGCCCATTCATGGGTGGGATCAACCCTCAGGTGACTGTGAGGCTCAACCCTGACTGTGAGGCTCAACCCTGACCACAGTGTACAAGCTGCTATACAGGTGCTAACAAAACAAAACAAAAAATGTAACAAAAAAACAACAAAATATGAGAAAAGATCAATTAAAAAATAAGAAGAAAAGGGGAAAAGAATGAGAAAACAAAAATAAAAAGAATAAACAACTAAGAGAAAAGAATATAAAAATTAAAAAGGAGAAATAACAAAGAATAAGAAAAATAGAAATAAAAGAATAAGAAAAAATAAAAGAACAAATAGAATAAGAAATGGGAAAAGTATATAAAAGAAAAAAGTAGAGTTTGCTTCACTATAGTTTAGTGCCTGCTGTGCTCTCCCTTTGGATATACTGTTTGTGAAAATTGTTGGATCCTGCTCTGATATTCTCTGAAGCTGGCCACTTGGTGTGTTGGTTCAGGGCCTGTTGGGGGAAACTCAGTTGCAAGCCAATGTCAGACGCTGTCTATTCTTTACCTTCAGAAACCTGTTTGAAGCTATAAGTGATACACAGTTTGTGGCTGCCTCTGCTGGGCTTGGCTGCTTATGGGAAGGACCAAGCTGTGCTACAAGGCTTGCTTTTACCAGTACAGGCCCCACAGGCAGGTTAGCAAGCTTCTCAAGGCACCACAGGGTTCACCTCCATCTGCCTCCACCTGCCAGCTGGCTATTAGAGTTAGTCACTGAAAAGGTTCAGTCATAGAAAGAACTCTGGTAGAACTAGAAATATGGGGTTATTGGATTTTCTGTGAGATGGAGGTGTAATTCAGACTTCAGGGAAGATGATGGGTGTGATCCCAACCCCAGAGTCACAAGTCTGAGTCTGTCCCAGATTTTTCCCTGACCTCTGCAGGGCAGAGCCCCTAGTAGTTAGGTGCAGGGGAGTGAGAGTCCTCCAGAGCCCAGAGGTTGAGTCTGCCAGAAGCCAGGAGGGTGTTTCTATTGGGTCTACTGTGAGAGGGAAGTCTCAGTCTGGTTCACTGGAAAATGGGGGGAATGGTCCTACCCCAAAGCCAGTCACTGACACTTCCTGAGTCTGCCCAGATTCCTACAACCTGGCCAATGCTGCTGACTCTTCAGTAGGGCTTAAGATTTACAGAGTGGATCTGGCTGGTGTGGCTCAGTGGTTGAGCATTGACCCATGCATCAAGAGGTTGCCGGTTTGATTCCTGGCCAGGACACATGCCCAGATTGTGGGCCCAACCCCCAGTGCGGGGCATGCAGGAGGCGGCCAGTCAATATTCTCTCTCATCGATGTTTCTATCTCTCTCTCCTTTTCACTTCCTCTCTCTCTAAAATCAATAAAAGAAAAAAAAATTTTTTTTAAAGATTCACAGGGTGGGGTGAGAGGGGTGGGTTAATAGCTTTTCCCCACACCAAGACACATCATCATCAAAATGCCAAAGGTTAAAGACAAAGAGAGAATCTTAAAATTAGCAAGAGAAAAGCAGTTCATTAACTACAAAGGAGCTCCCATAAGACTGTCAGCTGATTTCTCAAAAGAAATTTTGCAGGCCAGAAAGGAGTGGCAAGAGATATTAAAGGTGATGAAAAGCAATGACCTAGAACCAAGATTACTCTATCCTGTAAAGCTATCATTTAGAATCAATGGACGTATCAAGAGTTTCCCAAACAAGAAAAAACTAAAGGAGTTCATCACCACCAAACTAGTATTATATGAAATGTTGAAGGGTCTTCTTGAAGGAGAAATAAAAATATGAACAACAAAGTGGCAATTAATACATATCTATCAACAATTAAATCTACAAACAAAATGAGCAAGCAGAACAGAAACAGACTCATAGATACAGAGAACTTTTTGTTGCTTGCCAGATGGGAGGGGTTGGGGGGGATGGGTGAAAAAGATGAAGAAATTAAGACGTACAAATTGGTTGTTAAATTGATGAACCTCAAAGGGAAGGGAGGAGGGAGGGTGGAAAGAGATAAACCAAAGAACATCTATGCATCTGTGCATAACCATGGACATTGACAATAGTGTGGGGAAGGCAGGAGGGGGGAAGGAGATCAATGGAGAAAAAAAGGGGGGGAACGTCTGTAATACATTCAACAATAAAGATGAGTTTAAAAAAATAGCTTTTCCCTAAGCTGATGCCGCTCAGAGGGGATTGCTCTGCCTGAAAACAATGGCTGCTGCAGTATCAGAGGGTAACTCAGCACAGGGATCCTGGCAGTTGTTCCCCCATGTCTCTCCCTAAAGCCATAAACCCAAAACTCTCCTCAGGTGACTCCAGTCTGCACCACCCTCCCTCCACCAGAGCCCAGGGTGAGTAGCTGTAAACAAAATTTTGTGCATTGGCCCTTTAAGAGGGTGCCTTGTCTCCAGCAGGCTCTGCCTCTCCATGGCAGACAGAAATCCCACATTTTGTTGTTGTTGTTGTTAATCCTCACCCAAGGATATTTTTCCATTGATTTTTACAGAGTGGAAGGGGGCAGGGTAGAGAGAGAAAGATCAATGTGAGAAAGACACATTGACTGGTTGCCTCCCACATACCCTGACCAGGGCCAGGGATTGAACCTGCAACACAGGTATGTGCCCTTGACCAGGAATTGAACCCGTGATCCCTCTGTCTTCAGGCCGACGCTATAACCACTGAGCCAAACTGGCCATTTTTCACAGCTGGATTTTATGGGGGTTCTTGTTCCTGGCTTTGACACTCAGATCGGGTAGTCTGGCCTGGAGTTGAGCTTCAAGCCCTCAGAGGGAACCTCCCACAGCTGGTCTATCCTTCCATTACCTCAGCAGCTGCCTGTGGGAGCCCGGCCAGACCCTTTCACATCTCCGCCCTTCCTACCAGTCTCGTGGTGGTTTCTTCTGCCAGTCCTCGGATATAAGTCTCCTCTTTGGATAGTCTTTAGTCGGTAATTCAGGATGATTATTCCCCAATTTAGTTGTCTTTCCAGTTTGAATCTGGGAAGAAGGAGGTGAGAGCAAGATCCACCTACTCTGCTGCCATCTTGAAAAGTCCTATACTTCCTTTCTAATTAAACTTTTGTCTTTCCTGGAATTAGTAATTGCACTACTTTTTATATTGTTTTGTTTTCTATGTGTTTAACGTTACTTTTCCCCCAGTGAGTTCATAGATCTAGTCAAAGTCTTTCAACATTTTCTGGCTGCCTGTCTGATTTCTTTTAAAACAAAAAAACAGTCCTGGCCTGTTTTGCTCAGTGGTTAGAGCATCGACCCGTGGACCAATGAGTTGCAGGTTTGATTCCAAACAAGGGCATGTACTTCAGTTGCGGTTCATCCCTGGCCCTGGTCGGGGTCATACGAGAGACAACCAGTTGATGTGTCCCTCTCACATCGATATTTCTCTCTTTCTCCCTCCCCCCCACTCTATCTGAAGATAAATAGAAAAATATCCTCAAGTGAGAATTAAAATAAATAAATAAAAATTAATAAAAAATAAAAATTGTTTATATTTAAGGTATACAACATGATAATATACATAGTGAAATGATCACAATAGACAAGCTAATAACATCTCTCCTCACATAGTTACCATGTGTATGTGTATGTGTGATGAGAGCACTTGAAATATACTCTTAGTGTATTTCTAGTATTCAGTAAAGCATTATTAACTATAGTAATCATGCTGTACATTAGCTCTCTAGACTTAACCTACAGAACTGCAAGTTTGTACCTTTAGTGGTGTCAGTAATACAATAAAATATTATTTTAATAATATTATCTTAATAGTAAATGAATAGAAATCAAAGGCTTGAAACCTGTTCCTCAGTACCAGGAGGCATGCTGATGAATGATGTAGTCTATGGACTTGAGCTCTGTAGCTTTTTAAAATCACAGATGGATTTGCTTGAATAAGCAAATGTTAACAAGAGACCTTTAGCAGAGTCCTGATGATTAAAATCAGCCTACCTTTTCTAAACTTTATTCAATTTAAAAAATAAGTCATTACCTGTTGTTATGACCTGTAAAGGCCATTTTTAAAAATTACTTGAGCCCTGGCCAGTTTGGCTCAGCGGTTAGAGCGTCGGCCTGCGGTCCTGAGAGACCCGGGTTCGGTTCCCGCTAAGGGCATGTACCTCGGTTGCAGTTTGTCCCCGGCCCTGGTTGGTCGTGCGGGTGGCAGCCACTCGATGTGTCCCTTCACATCGATGTTTCTCTCTCTCTCTCTTCCTCTCTCTCCTTCCCGCTCTAGCTGAACAAAAAATGGAAAAATGTCCTCGGGTGAGGATTAAAAAATAAATAAATAAAAAATAAAAATTACTTGAGCAAATAAAAATTATTCATATCACAATGGCTGGGTCAGATTATTGCGATTATTACTTTTAGTTGTAGCCATTTCTATGTTCACATGCTACAAATTATTTTTTCATTTAACTTGTAAGTTCTCAATCTTAGCAGAGACAGGCTGAGCAAAAAATATGTCTGCCTAGTTTAACATTTGAAAATGCTATTTCTGTTGAGGACTCACAATCTCTGCTGCGCTCTGTTATAAATGCAACTTCTCTAAGTGGTCTTGATGCCAAGGCAATGTTTTCACACATTGCAATACCTAATACATTCTACAGAAGCACTATTTATTTAGTTGAATTAAAAGCAAAGTTTAATGCTGCTTTTCAGTATAAGCCTTTTAGTAAGATTTAATATTTTGTCTTTATATATCTACATTGATTTCATTTTTAAATTAAGTTTAAGAAAAGAAAAGCAGAAAATTAGAAAATATATAAGAATGTCCTTCACCTCCACAAGAAAATGTGGTTATAATAATTAAAAAAACATGCAGCCCTGATAGTATAGCTTTTGTCCTCCCCTTTTAATAAAAGCATAAGTGTTAGAAATATTTACGTCTCTTTTGGGTTCTACTGTACCTGCATCCAAGTCTGTTCCATTCCTATCCCTAATGTTGCGAAGTTTGGGCACATTCTTCCGTGCTTCACTAAAATCATAATTGTTAAAGATCACACAGTACCCGCGAGGCTTGCTTTTCATTCGGTAAACTTTGTCCGATGTCTGGAAAAACAAAAATGCAACTCAGGAACTGACACTGTGGGTCAAATACTTGAGATGTGAACAACAACTCCCTGGTACAAGGTTGGGCTGTCCCCTGAGCCAGACTGAGCTAAGTGCTCATCTCATGGCTCCAATCCAAGGTAGCACTGTTTCCCTAATGAGCTAACTAGTTTCTACCTATTCTCCTCACACAGGATCCCCAGACTTCTGTCCCACCGTTAGTGTGTAAAGTCAATGTCCCCATACTTGGGCTCCTGAGCACTTTGCACTGATAGTAATATTGCCATCATAATGTATTATGTGTTCTCCTTTCTGCTCAAGGCAAATGACATCTGTGTCAGGAACTAGGATTTATTCATTTGTGAGAGCTCAATCAGGAATTGTTCAATGAATGAATGTCTTAGGGCTGCTTTTGGGCTGCCCTCTGGGACCTTAAGATTTCCTTGGCTATCTACTCAACTCATCCCTGTTTCTTGGCTAACAGCTGAGGTCCTGCCCTTCACTCATTACGAAGTGTCCCAGGACTTTTATAGCTGATGGATTAATCTGGTTCTCAAGACCACACTGACTGGAGGCAAGAGACATGCTGGTCAGGCAGATCTTGGCTATGCTGCAGGTTACAGTATCCGGACTCTGGTACCTGACATCATCAGTCAGAGGTGGCCCTCGGCTGTCCCGATTTTCCCAGCGCGGTTTCAGTGCTGACATAATCAGCATTTATTGGAAAATCTATATAGCTCCTACAAGTAGAGAAAAGGGCTCCCAGTTATGGGGGCAAAATTCTTGGCTCTATACTTAATAACCTTAAAACTTTGAGCAAGTTACCTAATCTCTACTGCAGTTAGGATCCGTAGATATTCCTTGGGGCAGCACTTGTAGAGTACTTTACTTTGCAAACTGTTACATGGCTTTGGTTGATCCTTGGTTTTCAGACTGAGAGAGGTCTGATAATTTGCTCAGGAACCCACTAGTAAGTTAATTCTCTCAAGCTTAATTTCAAGTCTCCTGCTGGACTCCTAGTGTTCAGGGTTTCCCCTGCGGCCGCCGCAGAGAGGAGTGAATGGGCTGAGTCAGGATGTGTTTGGTGAATTGGTGAAGGTCACAGAAGCAGAAGTGATTATGTCTAGAAGGCAATCCCTGTGCCAGTTCATCGAGGGGAGAACACAGAAATGGCTAGATCGTGAGCTTTTGCCACTTACACCTAATCACAAAGGAGGAACCGATTTGAAATGCCACATAAGAAAAGGCTTTGTGTCTGGCCGGTGTGGCGCACTGGTTGAGTGTCGACCCATGCATCAAAAGGTCGCCTGTTCAATTCCCGGTCAGGACACATGCTCAGGTTGAGGGCCCAATCCCCAATGGGGGGCATGCAGGAGGCAGTGTCTCTCTCATCGATGTTTGTATCTCTCCCTCTTTCTTCCTCTCTCTCTCAAACCAATAAAAAAATATTTTTAAAAAATAAATGAATAGAAGAAAGAGTCCCGTTGGACCCTTCCCCCAAAGCACTCTCCCATTCAGCGGCCGAAAGTGTGAGGTAGGAGACTTCTCACCCCCCTGCCCTCCAGCTGTTTCAACATCTATGTCTTCGGTTTTAAAATAAAAATTGAACACACAAGAAACCCCAGAGATCACATTTTTTTAAATTAAAAAGTCACACTTGAAGCTGTCCTTTTGTGAATTTTTTCTATAGTTCTCAAAATATTCACCAAAATTTCTTCTTACTAGTTTATCTGGAAGTTAAAAAAGCTGAGGAATACAATAACTAGAATCTGCAACGTAGAGAAAAGAAGGAATGGGAGGCTTCATCATACCTGCTGTGACTCACTGTCCTGTTCTCGGGGCTCACAGTCCTGTTCTCGGGGCTCATAGTCCGGTTCTCGGGGCTCATAGTCCTGTTCTCTTGGATAGTCCGACAGCGACAGCATCCCAAGTGGCGGCTCCTCTGCAAGTAATTGAGACGCATCGGAATGACACATGGCAGAGAAGGCACTTTAGTAAAGAAACATGTAGCACCTAGGACAACGTAAAGTCCCTTTTCAAAGGAACATTCACAGTCTGCCTTGAAAGTAATATCCTTACAATCCACAGAATAAGTAAAATTCTTACTACTGAGGAACTCTGCAGCTATTTCAAACTTGCTGGCCTGAGGCCACATGGTCTGTGTCTTTTGATACTTTGTTCAGTGTATAGAGGAGGTGACATTAAGTAGCCACCAAGTTCTCATCCTGGTATTAGGCACAGGTTTGTTAAGATGTGGGTATGGCCCGGCCAGTGTGGCTCAGTGGTTAAACATCAACCTGTGCACCAAGAGGTCACTGGTCTGATTCCTGGTCAGGGCACATGCCCAGGTTGTGGGCCCGATCCCCAGTAGGGGGCATGCAGGAGGCAGCCCATTGATGTTCTCTCTCATTGATGTTTCTATCTCTCTCTCCCTCTCCCTTCCTTTGTCTGTACAAAGTAATAAAGAAAAAAATATTTTTTAAAAAAAAGATGTGGGTATGGATGGTAGAGGTTGTAGAGAGGAAGCAAAGAAAGCATCAAAGAGTAAATTAGCTAAGTAAGTCCTGAAAACGGCTCCAGGTACTACCACTTGAAAATTCATCTTTCAAGATGTTAAGATTTTTAAAACTCCCTGAACATACAAAACCAATTTAATCATACAAACAAAGCTTAATTTAGCTTACTTTGCAAGATTAACCTGACCTTGCTTATGACTCTGAAAATCATGAACAGAACTTGAACGTTTTCCCAAAGTTGATATGAAGTAATCACTGATCAGTCCCCTCACTTAAGAAAATTCTAACATTATAATCAGTCACTGTGAATAATAAACAGTCACTGCTTTCTCACTATCTAAGCTGTTTTATAATAACATACTCCTGAGCCTCATTCCATATTTTGTTCTAAATGCTCCTGGTTTGCAAACTCTCTTTTGATGCGCACACAATAAATTTTTGTTAATTACTACAATAATTCATTGGGGTTTTTTGTTGTTGTTTTTTCTGCTTGTTTGTTTTTAATATTTTTAAATTGATTTTTAGAGAGACAGGAAGGGAGAGAGAGAGAGATTGAAACATGGATGTGAGAACAAAACATTGATCGGCTGCCTCCTGCACACCTTCTACCAGAGATTGAGCCTGCAACCCTGGTGCCCTGACCAGGAATTAAACCAAGCAATCTTTTGGTGAATGGGACAATACCCAAACAACTGAGGTACACCAGCCAGGGCTGGTTCATTGGTTTTACTTTGGCTATTTATGAACAACAAAGACTCATTCTTCCCTCTGAATTAAAAAAGAAACACACAGTTTTGATTTAAAATGTTGTGACATAGGCCCTGGCTGGTTGGGCTCAGCGGTTAAAGCATCCAGCCTGCGGTCCAGAGAGACCTGGGTTCAGTTCCCGCTAAGGGCACGTACCTTGGTTGCAGTTTGTCCCCGGCCCTGGTTGGTTGTGTGGATGGCAACCACTCAATGTGTCCCTTTCACATCAATGTTTCTCTCTCTCTCTGTTCCTCTCTCTCCCTCCCACTCTACCTGAACAAAAAATGGAAAAATGTCCTCGGGTGAGGATGATAAAAAAAATAAAATAAAATGTTGTGACATAGAGAGATTTATCAACTTATGAATACATTTTGCTGCCCTGGCTGGGTAGCTCAGTTGGTTGGAGCATCCTCCTAATGCGATAGGGTTGCGGGGTTCAATGCCCACTTGGGGTACATGCAGGAATCAACCAGTAGGAATCAACTGGTGAATGCATGGATAAGTGGAACAACAAATCAATGTTTCTCTCCCTCTCTCCCTCTTTCCTTCCTCTCTCTCTCAAATCAATCAATAAGTTTTAAAACAATAAATTTTGCTGATTTGCAGCTATCAGGTTGTTTCTACCTTTGCTTAATTCTTCATAATCACTGATTTTCTTCAGCAGACTCTTGTTAACTTGGTCACAGATTCTTTTTAGGGTGTCCAAATTTCTTTCCCCAAGGATGGTCCTCTTCTCCATCTCTACGAAAATATCGAGCAAGTTCTAGAGAGAAAAGAAATAAAATTGGAAGATGGAATTGGGCCACAATGGCTTTTATTTATTTATTTTTTTTAAAATTAATTTATTTATTTTTTGTTACAGATGTTTCTCCTTTTTTACCCCATTGGCACCTCCCTCCCCACCCCACACCCGCCCCATCCCCGGCTTTGTTGTCCATGTCTATCGGTTATGCATACATGCATATAAGTTCTGTGGTTTATCTCTTCCCACCCCCCACTCCCGCCTGCTCTTCTGACGGATGTCAGTCTGTGCCCTACTTCCATGTTTCTGGGTCTACTGTATTCCTTGGACTGTTATGTTCATTATATTCCGTATATAAGTGAGATCATGTGGTATTTGTCTTTTTCTGCTTGGCTTATTTCACTTAGGATAATACTTTCCAGGTCCCTCCATGTTGTCTCAAAGGATAAGAGATCTTTCTTTCTTACAACTGCATAGTACTCTATTGTGTATATGTACCACTGCTTTTTTATCAATTCTTCTACTGATGGACGCTTGGGCTGTTTCCAGATCTTAGCTATTGTAAATAGTGCTGCTATGAACATGGGGGTACATATATTCATTCTGATTGGTGTTTCAGGCTTCTTAGGGTATATTCCTAGAAGCGGGATCACTGGGTCAAATGGAAGTTCAATTTTTAATTTTTTGAGGTAACACCATATTGTTTTCCATGGTGGCTGCACCCGTCTGCATTTCCAGCATCAGTGTACTAGAGTCCCCTTTTCTCCACACCCTCGCCAACACTTGTTGTTTGATGATTTGTTGATGGCGGCCATTCTGACAGGTTGTTTTAATTTGCATCTCTCTGATGATTAGTGATGTTGAGCATCACTACCAATGGACACAGACAGTAGTGCAATGAATGGGGGGGGGAGTGGGGTGAAGGCAGTCAGTGGAGGAAAAGAGGGGGGACATCTGTAATACTTTCAACAATAAAGATAAATTTTTTTAAAAAAAATTCACGCCAGACAGCTTTCTTCTTCAATCCAGGCTGAAAAATGAGAATTTAGGTTGCTTTACATGAGTAGCCTCCCTTCAGTGTCAGAAACCCCCACTGACTGACTCTTCCTGAGGGCTAAATCTTGGCATAATGCCAGGTCTTACCATGTTGTCATCCAGTTTACATCTGGAGATCTCCTGGCTCAAAAAAAACTTAAAGGACTTCAATTCCAATTCAGTAACATCTTCTGAAATCTGGAAAAGCATTACCCTGTGGTGGAAAATAGAGATACTTGAGAAATGCTTTCTTAAATAATCTCCCATTTGATACATAGAGTCACAGCAGACTTGATTCCAATGGCCTCCCTTCCAAATAAAGCCAGCTGGGAACATGGCTGATGAGTCGAGTCCTTGGAAAGAGGCTGGTGTAGTGAACAGAAGACTCCTGATTCAAGTCCAATTAGCCCCCCTTTAATAGAATTTCAAGTCCTCCTAACTTTTTCCTTCAGTTAAATGAATTGTGGTTTTCCTTCATCTTCACTATAATAAAATCAAGATCTTCTTGCAATAAAAAAGTTTTTATTTTGGAAATTATGCTTTTCAAAATGCAAATCTGATCACCACTTCACAATTAAAACTTGCCAGTGTTCTCTCAGCCACTACCTTTAGTAGGAAGGCCAAACACATGGTTCTGGAATACAGACCTTTGTGAGCTGAGCCCAGCCTTCCTCCTCGTCTCGGCCAGTCCTCACCACCCTCCCACCATCTCTTCTTCAAACACACCCACTGCCCTGCCCTTGCCCCTTTACGCTGGGCCCCACCGCACTCCTGTTCCCCCGGCCATCTTCAGACAACCACTCACCCACCAACTTCTCAGGCACGCCTGTGACCTGAGCACTGCATTCACCCACGGTACCTTTGTATCACCCAAAGGGTACCATAATTGTCTATAAAGCTGTCCAAGTCCCCTGAGAGCAGGGTCCATTTTTGTTTCCATAAGCTCAGAGGGTTGTGAGGTACAACGTGTAAATGCAGGGGCCCCAGACTGATGATGTTGGAAGCTTGTTTCCACAACTTATGAGCTGTGTGACTTCAGACATGTTACACATTTTTTTCTTCATTATGGACGGCAGATAATTCCATATCTACACCATTGGAACATGTTGAGGATTACATGAATAGGTGTATCTAAAGTGCTTCAACCAGCTTTTGGCGACACACTAAGTGCTCAACACACCACATTATTATTTTCTAGCCTGTGATAGGCTTTTGGGATATGCTTGTTCAATAAAAAAAAAGGAATGTTTTATAAGTCATCAAACCTTTCATTATTGTGTTATGAAGGAAATAACTGTATACAAAAACATGTTAACTTCAAAGTTAAATTAGAAAATTAGAAGTCTAAAAATAAAAATAGTGTAGAAACAGGAGTTACTCAGTATTGCCATCTGCTTCATGCTTCTTTTCATGGAATCTCTACCCTAGAAGTATTTTGCTATAGTCTTCTCACTTTGGCCAAGATCGGGTCCAATCAAAAGCTATTGCCCCTTTTAACTTTATTACAAGATATTTTGCTCTTTTGCTTTCCTCATTATTGAAACCTACTGGTTTTCTTGTACCATCATTGCCCAGAAATAAACCTGGATAGTTTATAAGATACTGATGTTATAGGTAGCAATTACAATTTGAAATTTTAAATGTCTAGTATTTTCTTATAAATAGAAAGTGACCACACTGGCATATTTTTTAAATTTATTTACTGGCTAATGATCAACAATAACGAACAGGCAGTAGATTGTACTTGTGCTGACTCTTTTTTTCCCCCAAACTAACATGTTGAATATTTTAATAGACCTGCCCTTGTTGGGATTCTTGGCCCTCCCACGCTTGGCCAGGTCATTGTCTGGCTTCAGCAGCATGTCTCAATGCAACTCAGCCTCCAGAAGACCAAGATGGTGGGCACAAGATGAGACCTTCCAGCCTTCCTAGTTTGGGGGCTGTTGTTTTTTAGGATTGATTGGTGCCTTATCTAAAAATTCCTGCCCTGGCCGGTTTGGCTCAGCAGTTGGAGCGTCCGCCTGAGGACCAGAGAGTCCCCGGTTTGGTTTCCGCTAGGGGCATGTACCAAAAAAAATAAATAAAAATTCATTAAAAGAACTTCACAATCCTATTAAGCCAGACTTACTCACTATTGAATAGTATCCTTCCTAATTCATATTCACCCAGAACATGTGACCGTATTTAGAAAAAGGGTCTCTGCTGTTGGGATCCCATTAAAATGAGATCATACTAGTTTTTAGTGGGTCCTAATCCAATGACCGGGTCCTTATAAGTAGAGGGAAATTCGAACAAACAGACACAAAAGGAAGAATGTAGGCAGAGATTGGACCAGTGAGTCTACCAGACGAGGACCCCCAAGGATGTCTGTAACCACCAGAAGCTAGGAGACCAGCATGCAACAGATTCTCCACGGAGCCTCCAAACAGGATTCAATCCTGTTGACACCTTGATTTCAGACTTTTAGCCTCCAGAACTATGAAAAAATAAATGTCCCTGCTGTGTCATGCCATCCAGTTTGTGGTACTTTGTTATGGCAGCCCTAGGACACCCTCCCCCCACCCCCCAGTGTATCTCTTTAGTCATTTAAAATCAAAATGATCAAGTCTCAAGTAGAGAAACATATGACAAGGTACATGCTAGAATCTCAGGTCTCTGAAAATAGAAAGACCAGGGCATTCATAGGCCAGTCAAGTAGAGGACAGTGGCTTTAAGCCCTGGCTCTGAGGACTTAACGTCACACGTGCCTCAGTTATTGACAGACAGACAGTGAAGTGAGCCACAGACAATGCTGGAATAGAACGTTTTTGAAAGGAAAGCTAAGATTAACTCTAACGAGTATCTGAGAACAGGGGATGTTGAAAGAGAGAAGTTGGTAATGTGTTTCTATTTTTAAAGCTGTCAGAATCGCAAAGATGTAACTGAAGGTGACTATCATCCCTAGGACACCCACTCTCCCACAGGTAGGGAAACCGAGCTGCAAAGCCTTTGATAGAACTGATACCCAAGTCACCCTTGGTCTTGAGTAGCAGCCAGCCTCACAGTGGCTAAGCTGTCTCTGTGGGGTCTGTCCTGGCCAATCCCAAATGACTGGCAGCATATACCTCACTGGAGGATTCTGTAATGCAAGTGTAGATAAAAGCCTGAAACTCCATTGAGATTCCCACAGTCACCCACAAGCAGGTGGGAGGGGGATTTCAGGGTGCAAAGTAGTGATGCTTCATCCAAAATAGACAAAGTAAGCACACAATGTGGGCAACAGCAAAGCAGAAACACCAAGATAATAGACACATAACAAAAAGAGAATTAGAACATTTAGGAAAAGTCTGTTTTAATGTCAGCATACTTATAGGTAATGCTTCACTTTGAAATTTTCATTTTATGGTTTTAGCTTTTTTTTTTCCTTCTGAAATATACATCAGGTCTCTAAATTTCTTAATCTGGCCCTGAAAGGACATCTTCCCAGAGCCTCCAAAGTCATACTACATCGACAACCTGCAATTAACCCTCCCACAAAGACGCATCCTCTCCTCCCACACTTCTCAGTGCTAACACTACCGCGAGTCTCCCCACCTGTATGCAGAGAGCTGAGCCCTGCCTGGTATCTGAAGTTCCTGCTTCATCTCTTCTCTGCTAGTGTTCAGGTGCTTATCCAACAGATCCATTCTATTAATTTGGAATAGCAGCTCCTTCAGGAAGAACAAGTTGCTTTCCTCCAACATTCTCTTATCCTGGAGTCTTTGGAATAGTGTTAAGGCATCCCTGATGTATTCCTGCTTCCTTTGTGGTATGTAGTCCAGGCTCAGAAACTTGAGGGAGGCCACCTCACCACTGCTCAGATCTTCCCCAATTTCATACAGACAACTGGTGAAATCCATGCTTGTTCAGGGTTAGCTGAATCGTTGTAGCCTAGGTCAAAACATGACATTATGTTCAGATTGAGGAAGAAAAGTGCATTTAACTTGTTTGTTCCCTCATAAAATGTTATTATATCTGCTACAATACATGTCAGACATTTTGCTGTGAATACAGGAAAGAACAAACAAACAAACAGGACAAGCTCCTTCTCTCAAGTGTCTTACTGTCTAGGAAGGTAGCTATACAAACTAGCCAGTGGTTAGAGAGTTGTGACCAGAGTGCAGTAGGAATAATAAATGTGAAAATTCAGTTGGAAGCAGTGGTTTTCAAACTCCCCGCAAAGTTGAAGAACTTGTTGTTGAAGTCTTACTCAGACTCTCCCTTCCCTGCAAGGAGAGAGATACTGTCTGAGATACTGTCTGAGAACCGTGACCTAGAAAACCTTGAACTTCCCATCTGGCTCCTTCATCTCCTTGATACCACAGACTGTGTGCCTTTGACATTTTCCTTAACCTCAAATAACCTTAACCTGTTTGGACCTCTTTCCTTCCTAAAACAAAGCAGGTGGGTTCCTGGATCCTTAAGCTCTCTGCATTTACTAGCATTCTAGGATGAAAACACAAATCCTGACTCTACTCAGAGGTACTAATCAGAGGTAGTGGACCAAGACCCATACACTTTGTACATATAATGTTAAAATAGGATTTTTTATTTGCACATTAAGGTAAGCTTTAATGGTTTTATTTGTTCGTTTGTTTGTTTTTGCTTTGTTAATCCTCACCTGAGAATATTTTTTTCTTTGATTTTTAGAGAATGGAAGGGAGGGGGAGAGAGAGAGAGAGACATCGATGTGAGAAAGACACATAAATTGGTTGCTTCCCACACATACCCCGACCAGGGCTGGGGATAGAACCTGCAACCCAGGTACATGCCCTTGACCAGGAATTGAACCTTTGACTCTTTGGTGAGTGGCTTATGCTCTAACCACTGAGCAACACCAGCCAAAGCTAATGATTTTTTAAAGTGGCCATAAATATGAAATAATCAAGGTAATGAAAAACAAGGATCTGAATCCAAGACTACTCTATCCAGCAAAACTATCATTCAAAATAGAAGGTGAAATAAAGAGGTTCCCAGACAAAAAAAGGCTAAGGGAATATATTGCAGCACCAAACCAGCACTGCAAGAAATGTTAAAAGGACTGCTGTAATTAGTAGAAGAAACAGGAAAAAAATATAACCACAATAAACAAAAATAGCAATAAATAAGTACAGATCAATAATAACCTTAAATGTAAATGGATTGAATGCTCTGATAAAAAAAAAAAAAAAAAAACATGGAGTAGCTGATTGGATAGGAAAGCATGACTTGCCCTGGTCAGTTTGGTTCAGCGGTTGGAGCATCGACCTGCAGACTGGAGAGTCCCAGGTTCAGTTCCCTCTAAGGGCACATACCTCGGTTGCGGCTTGTCCCTGGCTCCAGTTGGGGTTGTGTAGGTGGCAGCCGGTCGATGTTTCTCTCACATCAATGTTTCTCTCTCTCTCTTTCTCCCTCTCTCCCTCTTGCTCTATCTGAAGATAAATGCAAAAAATGTCCTGGAGTGAGGATGATAAAAACCAAACTATTATTCATATATATGTTGTTTACAAGAGACCCACCTCACAACAAAAGACTCACATAGGTTGAAAGTGAAGAGATAAAAAAAAAATCTTCCAAGCAAATGGACAGGAAAAAAGAGCTGGAGTAGCAACACTCATATCTGATAAAACAGACTTTAAAATGAAGGCCATAACTAGAGACAAAGAAGGCCACTACATAATATTGAAAGGATCTAGCCAACAGAAAGATATAATCTTAGTAAACATATATGCACCGAATATAGGAGCAGCAAAATATATTTAAAAACTTCTGGAGGACTTCAAAGAAGAAATCGACTACAATCATAGCAGGGGACTTCAACACCCCACTGACATCACTGGATAGATTCTCTAGGCAAAAAATTAACAAGGATACAGAGACGCTAAATATGCAGTAGATCAAATGGATTTCATAGATATCTACAGAAAATTATATCCCAAAACTGCAGAATTCACATTCTTCTCAAGTGCACATGGTACATTCTCAAAGATAGACCACATGTTAGGACACAAACTAAGTCTCTACAAGTTCAAGAAGATTGAAATCATATCAAGCATCTTCTCAGATCTAGTATGAAACTAGAAATCAATTACAACAAAAACATGCAAAAACATATAAACACATGGAGACTAAATAGCATGTCATTAAACAATGAATGGGTTACTGAGGAGATCAAGGAAGAAATTAAAAACTTCCTGGAAACCAATGAAAATGAACACACAACAACACAAAATCTATGGGACGCAGTGAAAGCAGTTCTGAGAGGGAAGTTCATAGCACTACAGGCCTACCTCAGGAAAAAAGAAACTTTTCTAATTGACTGTCTAACCTCACAACTTAAAGAACTAGAAAGCAAACAAAAAGAAAAACCCAGAGCAAGTAAAAGGAAAGAAATAGTAAAGGTCAGAGCAGAAATAAATGACGTAGAGACTAAAAAAAAAAAAAAAAAAAACCATTCAAAAGATCAATGAAACAAAGAACTGGTTCTTTGAAAAGATAAACAAGATTGATGGTCCCTTAGCCAGACGCACCAAGAAACAAAGAGAGAAGATCCAAATAAACAAAATCAGAAATGAAAGAGAAGTAACAACTGACACCACAGAAATACAAAGGATTTTTAACAAATACTATGAAAAATTATACGACAACAAATTGGACAATCTAGGTGAAATGGACAAATTTCTGGAAAAACTGAACTGGGAAGAGATAGAAAACTAGAACAGACCAATAACAACAAAGAAAATTAAAGATGTAATCAAGAATCTCAGCAGACAAAAGCCTGAGCCCAGATGGCTTCACAAAGAAGTTTTACCAAACATTCAAAGAAGAACTAACACCAATTCTCCTCAAACTATTCAAAAAAATTCAAGGAGAAGGAAAACTTCCAAACTTGTTTTATGAAGCCAGCTTAAGTCTAATTCCAAAACCAGATAAAGACCCTACAAAGAAAGAAAACTACAGGCCAATATCCCTGATAAACATAGATGCCAAAATCCTTAACAAAATATTAGCAAATTGGATCCAGCAATACATTAAAAAAATCATTCACCATGACCAACTGGGATTCATTCTAGGGATGCAAGGATGCTACAATATTCACAAATCAATCAATGTGATACACCACATAAACAAAATGAAAGATAGAAACCATATGATCATATCAATAGATGCTGAAAAAGCATTCGACAAAATCCAGCATCCACTTCTAACAAAAACGCTCAGCAATGTGGGAATAGAGAGATCATATCTTGACATAATAAAGTCCACGTATGAAAAACCTACAGCCAACATCATACTCAAGGGGCAAGAACTAAACGCATTTCCCTTAAGAACAGGAAAAAGACAGGGATGCCCACTGTCCCCACTCTTATTTAACATAGTACTGGAAGTCTTAGCCACGGCAATTAGACAAGAAGAAAAAATAAAAGGGGTCCAAATTGGAAAGGAGGAAGTGAAACTGTCATTATTTGCAGATGACATGATAGTGTACATAGAAAACCCTAAAGACTCCATCAAAAATCTACTAGATTTAATAAGTGAATTTGGCAAAGTAGCAGGATAAAAATTTAATATCAAGAAATCAAAGGCATTCTTATATACCAATAATAAACTCACAGAAAGAGAAACAAACAAACACAAAACCATCCCATTTACCATTGTGGCAAAAAATATTAAGATACCTAGGAATAAACTTAACCAAAGAAGTAAAGGACCTATTTTCAGAAAACTACAGGTCATTGAGAAAAGAAATAGAGTAAGATATAAAAAAGTGGAAGCATATACTTTGTTCATGGATTGGAAGAATTAATATCATTAAAATATTTATACTACCCAAAACAATCTATAGATTCAGTGTAATCCCCATCAAAATACCAAGTACATATTTCACAGAACTAGAACAAATACTCCAAAAGTTTATATGGAACAAAAAAAGACCCCGAATAGCCACAGCAATCTTGAAAAAAAAAAAAAAGTAGGAAGGATCACAATATTGGATATAAGGTTATACTACAAAGCCATTGTAATCAAAACAGCCTGATACTGGCACAAGAACAGGCATATAAAACAAAGGAACAGAACAGAGAACCCAGAAATAGACCCAAGACATTATGCTCAATTAATATATGACAAAGGTGGCAAAAGCATACAATGGAGTAAAGACAGCCTCTTTAATAAAAGGTGTTAGGAAAATTGGTCAGCTACATACAAAAAAATGAAACTAGACCATCAACTTACACCATACACAAAAATAAACTCAAAATGGATAAAAGACTTAAATGTGACTCATGAAGCCATAAAAATCCTAGAAGAAAATGCAGGCACCAAAATTTCAGACATCACATGCAGCAGAATTTTCACTGATAGAACATCTAAGGCAAGAGAAACAAAGAAAAAATTAATACATGGGACTACATCAAACTCAAAAGCTTCTGTACAGCAAAAGAAACAATCATCAAAATGGAAAGGGTACCCAGTATATGGGAGATCATAATTGCCAATGATACATCAGATAAGGGGTTAATTTAAAAAATATATAAAGTACTCATACAACTCAACAAAAGGAAGACAAAACCCAATTAAAAAATGAACAGAGGACCTAAAGGGACACCTCTCCAAACAGGACATACAAATGGCCAAGAGACATATGAAAAAATGCTCAGCGTCACTAATCATCAGAAAGATGCAAATAAAAACAAATATGAGGTATCACCTCACACCTGTCAGAATGGCCGCCATCAACAAATCATCAAACAAGTGCTGGCAAAGGTGTGGAGAAAGGGGGACTCTAGTACACTGCTGGTGGGAATGCAGACTAGTGCAGCAACTATGGAAAAGAATATGGTGTTTCCTCAAAAAATTAAAAATTGAATTCTATTTGACCCAGTGATCCTACTGCTAGGAATATATCCTAA